AGGCTGGCCGGCGCGGCCGCGGCGTGCGCACGCGGCTCGAGCCGGGTGGCTCAGCCCGGCTCGCAATTTAATTAAAAAAAATAAAAAAATTCGACCACCGGGGTGGCGGCCGGCGGCCGGCGGGAAGACTGGAGGACCTCGGCAACATCCATGGTGGAGGTTTTGTGGAACTTGCAGTACAAGTCAACCGGGATTATACTGCAGTGGGAGTTCCAGTTGATTTAGGAAAGAAATCCTAATCCAAGGAGAATAAATATTTAATTGGCCATAATAGTGGATATTTATTTATGGCATTAATTATTTATTTGTTTATTTATGCATGGTATTAATTGTTGCCTTGTGTGCATAGGGTTATTTAGAATTGTATGAATATATTAAAATCCTCTTTTAAATACTAAGTTGAGAAGAATATTTAAAGTTAAGATAATTTAAAATTCCTAAGGACTTCATTTCTAATTCGTTGGTAAATCAATTAATTGATAGTGTGGGCTTCCCCGAGGATGACATTAATTGAAATTAATTGAAGGATAATTATCAGAACGAATTTATAAATTTAGACGGTTAAAGGTAATCGAATGAGAGCGTACGGGTCACCCCGAGGTGAACGTATAATCGATTTTGACGACCTTAGGACCGAGAAACGGGATTCACTTAGAATGTGATTCATTTCATAACCCCCCGAGGGGTCCCCGATTTTTATGGCATGGCCAAACGGTGACCGACTATTAATTTCGTTCGTCATGAAATTGGTTTTGACTAATGGAAATTAATGGGTTTTGGAAAAACCCTTCTCTAAAGAAACAAAGAATTAGTAGAGTTGCCCGAGGATCATACTAAATACTCAAGGTTTAAGGATGTCGGTGAATTTAAGTTAGTATTGTTTTGAGGATGTCAATATTAACAGTTAAATTCAAAATGTTTTATCAGTAAAATATGGTCCTGATTCTCAGGTTTATTCATCATGTCGTTCAATCCATTGTCTGTTATCCTAAAAGAAACACCGGTCCTAATTACATTGATTGGAAAAGGAACTTAGACATAGTGCTGACTGCTGAAGACTATAAGTATGTGCTAACTGAGGCATGTCCTGATGTGCCGGCTGATAATGCCCCAGATGAGGAGAAACATGAGTATGCTCGGTGGAAGAAGGCTGATGAGATGGCGAAGTGTTACATTCTGGCTTCTATGTCAAATGTCCTTCAATATCAGCATCAGTCAATAGCCACTGCTGCAGATATGCTTCTGAACCTCAAGGAACTGTTTGGGCATCAGTCGAGGGCTGCAAGACAAGAGGCTTTAAGTGCTCTGATGAACACGCGCATGGCAGAGGGTACACCCGTAAGGGAGCATGCTCTCAAGGTCATGCCGCAACTCAATGAGCTAGAGGTTCTTGGAGGTTTTATTGACGGGGAACCCAGGTTGATATCATGCTCCAATCTCTGCCGAAGAGTTTTGATCAGTTCCGGTTGAACTATAACATGCACAAGATGCATATGGCTCTTCCAGAACTGTTGTCGGGGCTATGAGTATTTCGTCACTTTTATTGATGATTATTCTAGATATGGATACATTTATTTGTTGCACCGCAAGTCCGAATGCTTTGAGAAATTCAAGGAGTATAGGACAGTTGTGGAGAAACAACAAGGTAAAAGTATCAAGTGTCTTTGATCTGATTGAGGAGGCGAATACCTCTTTGGAGAGTTCAGGACATACCTATCAGAAGCAGGGATTGAATCCCAGCTGACTGCACCCGGCACGCCCCAGCAGAACGGGGTTGCAGAGCGAAGAAACAGAACTCTTATGGAAATGGTTAGGTCGATGATGAGTTATTCGAAGTTACCAGATTCGTTTTGGGGATTTGCATTAGATAGAGCATGTTACATTCTGAATTCTGTTCCTTCAAAGTCAGTAGACAGTACTCCTTATGAGTTGTGGAAAGGGCGCAAGCTTAGTTTCTCACAAATTCGAATTTGGGGTTGCCCTGCACATGTCTTAGTGCAGGAGGCTGGCAAGTTGGAGAAACGTTTAGAAGTGAGATTGTTTGTCGGCTACTCCAAGGAAACGAAAGGTGGTTTATTTTATAGTCCTGAGGATCAGAAGGTGATCGTTAGTACGAACGCTAGATTCTTGGAAGAAGACTATATCATAGATCATAAGCCCAGTAGTAAACTTGTCCTAGAGGAGTTAGGGAGAGATATCGATAGTTCCCCACCGAGTGCGCAAGTAGATACATCACATAATACTGCAACACGTAACACTGATAGTGTGCCAGTACAGACGGTACCTCGTCGTAGTGGGAGGATTTCTACACAACCCGACCGATAGATAGGTCTTGGAGAGTCATCAGACTCAGTTCCAGGAGACCTAGAATCAGACCCAAGAACTTATGATGAGGCACTCCAAGATAGAGATGCAAATTCGTGGAAGGTTGCAATGAAAGCTAAAATGGGGTCTATGGACACCAATCAGGTCTGGGATCTTGTAGAACCACCCGATGGGATACGTCCCATTGGATGCAAGTGGGTTTACAAGAGAAAGAGGGGATCGGATGGAAAGGTGGAAACCTTTAAAGCTAGGCTTGTTGCGAAAGGTTATACCCAGAAAGAGGGTATCGATTATGACGAAACTTTTTCGCCAGTAGCTATGCTTAAATCCATTCGGATTCTCTTAGCTTTAGCCACTCATATAGATTATGAAGTCTGGCAGATGGATGTTAAGACGGATTTCCTTAATGGAAACCTTCAGGAAGACATCTATATGCAGCAACCAAAAGGATTCATTGCAAGAGGGCATGAGCACTTAGTTTGTAAGCTTAATCGGTCCATTTATAGACTGAAGCAAGCTTCAAGATCTTGGAATATTCGGTTTGATGATGTAATCCAGTCATGTGGATTCACCCAATGTCCGGATGAGCATTGTGTATACAAGAAGATTAGTGGAAGCGTGGTGGTGTTTCTTGTGCTATACGTGGATGACATACTTCTTATTGGCAACAACAAGAAGGAGTTGTCGGACGTAAAGGTGTGGTTGTCTAAGCAGTTTGATATGAAGGACTTGGGTGAAGCAGGACACATTCTTGGTATCAAGATCATTCGTGATGGTGAGAAGAGAATGATGTGCTTATCCCAGTCTTCATATATAGATATTGTCTTGGCTAGATTCAGTATGCAGAACTCTAAGAGAGGCACATTACCTTTCAGACATGGAGTACCTTTATCTAAGGAGTTGTCTCCTAAGACGACTGAGGAGATAGAGGACTGTAGGCAATTAAATTTTGAGTCAATCAAATGGCGACAAGTGTCAAATTCCATGTCAAAACCAATTTAATAATTTTTTATTTTATTTGGGAAATTAATCAAATTTTAATTCCTAAATTAAATAGCTAATTAATTGATTATTTAATATATATTGTTGGTCAATTAAAGATTGCCACATGTATATTTTGAAGGCCAATTAAAGAATGCCACATGTCATTTTCTTGGAGAGTAAAATAAATATTTATTTCTTTTAATAATTATTAAAGAGATAAATAAATAGAAATTCATGGACCAATCAAATTGAAGTCTTCTTTTTAAAGACTCTCTCTCCTAATTATCTCTTTAAATAATTATTAAGAGATAAATATTGAAAATTATGGACCAATCAAACTGAAGTCTTCTTTTTCAAAACTCTCTCTCCCAACACCTATAAATAGGGACCCTCCCTAAGGTGAAAAATCACAATTCATATTCAAGTTCCAAGTTCAAGAGCTCTAGAGATTTTTCTCCACAAAATTCAAGTGTTCTTGAAGATCCAAAGGCGTTCTTGAAGATCCAAAGGAAGATTCAAGCGCGTTCAAGTCAAAAACCGACGTTCAATCTGGAAACAAGCTGCCAAGCCTCCGAATTGTGTTATTAAATTCAACTGTTCTTGAAGATCCAAAGGCTTTCTTGAAGATCTGAAGGAATCTTCAAGTGCGTTCAAGCCCAAAACCAACGTTCAATCCGGAATCAAGCTGCCAAGCCTCCGAATTACATTATTGAAGTCAAGACCGATGTAAAGAAGATCAAAATCAACTTTGCGGCGAAGACCAAGGATTCGTGTTCTTCACGTTCTTGGGAAATCACGGCGTTCGATTCGAGATCAAGCTGTCAAGCCCTCGAAGAAACGTTATTTAAATCCAAATTCAAGACCGGCGGAGATCAAATTGAAGATTCATCACCAAAAGTCTCATATCCATTTGAAGATTGTTCTTGAAGAAATTAATCAGAGGAATAATAGAGATTTGTAATCCACTATGTTTCATTTGATCCGTTGAAATCCATTTGTACGAATTTCTCGTGTTTATTAATTCAATAATACGAAATTTTGCATTACAAATTTCTGGCACGCCCGGTGCGACCATCTCTACCTCTCATCTATTTTCTTCAAGATATATAAGTGCAACGATGACTCCTCCCAAGTCAACTTCTTCAAGTTTTGCAAGTGTTGGTGTCGTAACAAGAAGTATGGCAAAAAATAAGAGTGTATCTCTGGAAGAAAATTCTCACCAAGTTGAAAGAAATGGACCGCCTTTGATGAACCAAGAGGAAGATTTGAGAGACGATGCTTCACCGACACCTTTCTCAGTAGAGAAACATGTTATGATGATGAATGCATCCACCATTGAAGAGCAACTTGCAAGCATGGCAAAAACAATGGAGTCACTGATGAAACATGTCCAAAATCTAGACTCCACAATTTTAAAGTTGCTAGAAAGGGTCGACAAAGCTGAGGCTAGCCGAGCTGGGGGCAAGCAGGATAAAACACATGAGGAAGAAGAAACTTCTAAAGAAGATGAGGTTAAACAAACTGAAAAAGAGACGTCTTCGTCAGAAATCCATGTTTCTTCGAGTGGACTCATACCAACTGACCAACTCAAAGAATTCATCATGGGAACCATCAAGGACAAATTTGACGGAGGCTCCAAGTCATCTTTGACTTACTCGAAGCCATACACCCAAAGGATTGATAGCTTGAAGATGCCTACTGGATATCAACCACCGAAATTCCAACAGTTCGATGGTAAAGGCAGCCCGAAACATCACATAGCTCACTTCATTGAGACTTGCAACGATGCTGGAACATATGGAGATCGTCTGGTGAAGCAGTTTGTTCGATCACTGAAGGGAAATGCATTTGAGTGGTACACCGACCTGGAGGCGAATTCTATTGATAGCTGGGAGCAACTAGAGCAAGAGTTTCTCAATCGCTTCTACAGCACACGAAGGACGGTCAGCATGATTGAGCTCACCCATACAAAGCAGTGGGATGAAGAGCCTGTTATTGACTACATCAACCGATGGAGAAATCTAAGCCTCAATTGCAAGGATCGACTGTCTGAAGCTTCAGCTATTGAAATGTGCACTCAAGGGATGCATTGGGGTCTTCAATACATTTTGCAAGGGATTCAACCGAGGTCGTTTGAAGAGTTGGCCACTCGCGCACATGATATGGAGTTCAGCATTAATGCAAGCGGGGTCAAGAATCCACCTGTCCATGAGCATCAAAGATTCAAGGACCGAAATGAAGCCAAGAAAGGGGGCAAGTTCACCACTAGAGCACCTAATAAAGAGGTCAAGGAAGCAATGGCGGTCAATGCAAGACCCATCAAACTCAAGGGAAACACAAGCGAAAAAGCTGTGGAAGAGAAAGAAGTCCCTCAAGACAGGGGGCAAAGAAAGTTAACCTTGAAGAAGATGCAAGCCAAACAATATCCTTTTCTTGACTCTGATGTTTGTGGAATTTTTGACGACTTGATTCAGGAACAACTTATCGAACTGCCGGAGATGAAACGACCTGAAGAAGCAGAACAAGTTGACAACCCAAAATACTGCAAGTATCATCGTCTGGTGAGTCACTCCATCGAAGATTGCTTTGTCTTCAAAGATAGAGTTATGCAGCTGGCGCGACAAGGCAAGATATCACTTGAAGAAGACAAAGGGTCTGCGAATTTTGCTTCAATTGTGACCTGCGAGGAAGGATATGAAAGTTTCGCTTGTCATTTGACGAGCGAGCAAGAAGATGTCCCAAATCATGAGGAGTCGACTGATGACAAAGAACGATGCGACCCTCAAGACAATGATGTAGCAGTCACTTTTACAGATGAAGACTTGATGTTGGGCTCAAAACCCCATAATAGTCCTTTATTCGTAACTGGTTACACTCGCGAGAAAAAGGTGAATTGCATATTAATAGATGGAGGTTCTGCTGTGAACATTTTGTCTCTGTGTACTCTAAAAGAGCTGGAGGTCCCGACAGATGAACTCTCAAATAGTCGGTTGATGATTAAAGGCTTTAACCAAGGGGGGCAACGAGCTATAGGCATAATTAGATTGAAGTTAGTAATCAGGGAGATGACTTCAAATGCTCTTTTCCATGTGATAGATGCCAAAACCTCCTATAACATGTTATTGGGACGTCCTTGGTTGCATGAGTATGGAGTGGTGCCTTCTACTTGGCATCAATGTTTCAAATACTGCCAAGATGGTGTAGTAAGGAAGGTTCTTGGAGACGATAAGCCTTTTACAGAAGCCGAGTCTTATTTTGCTGATGCTAAGTATTATTTTGAAGAGGTTAAGGTTGTTGGCACTAAAGACGTTCCCATCAAACAACCAAATGGAGCCAAAGAGAAGAAAGCCAAGAATCTTGCTGGGAACGACCCTCTTGATGGGCTAGTATTGCCGTTACCTAGTCTCGATGCCAAGAAACCAACCACACAACCCCTGGGAAAGTTTGTCCGCCCAATCGAAGGAGCTAAGACGGAGCACGGGGGAGAGCTTCAAAACTCTAAGTATTACGACCCAAAAGCATATAAACTTCTTGTCAAATCTGGATACGATCCAAAAGAAGTGAGTACTTTGGGAACACTTATTTCGCAAGCAGCAAAAACTCAAAAGAGGGATTCTGGAGTCGCAAAAACTAGAGTTGGTCTCGGATTTGCAGCACCAAATCCAGTTCGGATCGCCATAAAACGAGTCAATTCTAATCATGTGTTCGAAGAAGGATTTTCATCCACTGATCATTTGAAGCATAGAGAAAGAAGATCGGTATTTGAAAGGCTCGGACCAATTCAACAGTTAGAGTCCAAAAGAACTAGTCATCAAAGACTTGGTATTCGAAGGATGGTAAGATACGGGAAGATGGAGAGAAAGTTCCACGAGCTTCGAAACTTGATACCGTTACGAATGAAGAGACATACCACATTGATTGTTTCATGTGATAATGTCTTGCAGACGAAGATGCAAACAATCGTGCACATGAGAGTAAAGGGTGAAGAAGAAAGTGATGAAGAAAGCGTCGCTGCGACTAATAAAGTGAGTACTGTTGCCCCAAGAGAAAATCCTCGAAACATCGGAAGCTCCTTGCGTCAAACAATCGCTACATTGGTGAGAAAAGGGTTTATTAATGAAGACAATACCACTTTGCATTTGCCTCATGTCGTGAGAAGAGATGGACTAGTTAGAACATGCGTTGATTTCAAGAGTCTTGATAGCCCTGCTGAAGATGTTTCATATGTAAACCATATCACCATATGTGAAGATACCCAAGAAAATGAAGAAGGCGTTGAGGATGCCCCTGCTGATTTTGAAGAAGGAGTTGAGGCTACGGTTGGTGAGCTAAAAGAGATCAACTCAGGAGACATGGAAAATCCTCGACCAACTTATATCAGCGCCCTTTTGACTAGTGGTGAGGAGGAGGCTTATATCGAGCTGCTTCGTGAATATAAAGATGTGTTTGCTTGGTCATACAAAGAAATGCCTGGGCTAGATCCGAAAGTGGCGGTGCACAAATTGTCCGTGAGAAAGGGGGCACGACCTGTTAAGCAAGCTCAACGACGCTTTCCGCCCGATTTGGTTCCATTGATTGAAGTTGAAGTGAACAAGCTCATCGAGGTCGGGTTCATTCGAGAAGTCAAGTATCTCACATGGATCTCAAGCATTATTCCTGTGAGAAAGAAGAATGGTCAAGTTAGAGTTTGCGTCGACTTTCGAGATATAAATAAAGCATGCCCAAAAGACGATTTTCCGTTGCCCATTACTGAACTTATGATTGATGCCACCACGGGCCACGAGACGTTGTCTTTCATGGATGGCTCGTCCGGGTACAACCTAATACGCATGTCTCCTAGAGATGAAGAATTGACTGCATTTCACATGCCGAAAGGGATATACTGCTACAAGGTGATGCCATTTGGGTTGAAAAATGCTGGAGCTACATACCAACGAGTTATGCAAAGGATTTTTGATGATATGCTTCACAAAAGCATTGAATGCTATGTTGATGATGTGGTTGTGAAGTCAAGAAAGCGAGAATATCACCTTGAAGATTTGAAAAGGGTCTTCGAACGGTTAAAGAGATATCAACTCAAGATGAATCCACTCAAGTGTGCGTTTGGCGTCAAGTCTAGAAAATTTCTTGGGTTCATTGTCCGTCATCGAGGGATAGAGATCGAGCAAGCGAATATTGATGCAATATTAAGAATCCCCGAACCTCGAGATATTCATGAACTCAAAAGCTTACAAGGAAAACTGGCGTACCTTCGAAGATTCATATCAAATTTAGCTGGTCGTTGTCAACCGTTCAGCCGTCTTATGAAAAAAGGTGTTCCATTTGAGTGGTATAAGTCTTGCAAGAATGCTTTTGAAAGCATAAAGGCGTATTTGATGAAGCCTCCCGTGCTGGTTGCCCCTGTGCCCGGTCGTCCGTTGATTCTATACATAGCCGCTCAAGAACGTTCCGTTGGGGCTTTGTTGGTTCAAGAGAACTATGATGGAAAAGAAAGTGCTTTATATTACCTTAGTAGAATGATGACGCCAAACGAATTGAACTACTCACCCATCGAGAAGATATGTCTTGCGTTAATCTTTGCAATCCAAAAGTTACAGCATTATTTTCAAGCTCATACAGTTCGTCTCGTCTCAAAAGCCAACCCGCTTAAGTATGTTATGAGGAGGCCGGTACTTTTGGATAGACTTGCAAGGTGGTACCTTCAATTGCAGCAATTTGAGATCATCTATGTCCCTCAAAAGGCTGTAAAAGGTCAAATATTGGCAGACTTCTTGGCTGATCACCCAATCCCTGCCGAGTGGGAACTTTCTGATGAGTTACCCGATGAAGATGTCCTGGTGATTGAAGTAACTCCGCCATGGAAGATGTATTTTGATGGAGCGGCCCATCGAGAAGGGGCTGGTGCTGGAGTCGTATTTGTGACATGTCATGGAGAAGTTTTGCCTTACTCGTTTACTTTGACCGAGAATTGCTCAAATAATGTCGCCGAGTATCAAGCTCTTATACTTGGGTTGGAGATGGCAGTTGATATGAAGCAATTGCGTTTGAATGTGTATGGAGACTCTAAACTCGTGGTTAATCAATTACTTGGAGAGTACGAGGTGAAGAAACCTGAGTTGCTTTCGTATGTGAACTACGCCAAGAGACTTATAGGATGGCTTAGAGATGTGACCATTGATCATGTACCGAGAAAAGATAACAAGCAAGCCGATGCACTCGCAAAGCTTGCTTCGTCGCTCACCTTACCTGAAGATAAGGCCCATGTTCCTGTCTGTAAGAATTGGGTAGTGCCACCAATCTTTGATGATGAAGAAGATGATGAGAAAGATGAAAACCATGTCGTTGAAGTTTTTGAGATTGAAAAGAAATATTGGCGTCAGCCTCTTGTTGACTACTTGAAGTATGAGAAGTTACCTGACGATCTGCGAAAGAGAGTTGATGTGCGGCGGTGAGCACCTCGCTTTATCTATTACAAAGGAACTCTCTATCGACGATCCTTTGATGGAGTCTTTTTGAGATGTTTGGGAGATGATGAAGCGATTCAAGCTATGGAGGAAGCTCATTCTGGAATTTGTGGTGCTCATCAATCAGGCCCGAAGCTATATTTCCGGATCAAGAGAATGGGGTACTATTGGCCGACGATGGTTAAAGATTGTATGGACTATGCCCAAAGATGTCAGCCATGTCAATTTCATGCAAACTTCATTCACCAATCACCCGAGCCGTTACATCCCACTATTGCTTCATGGCCATTTGATGCGTGGGGTCTTGATGTGGTTGAACCTATGACAAAGTCTTCTGGTGTTCACCTATATATTTTGGCTGCAACGGATTATTTCTCTAAGTGGGCTGAAGCAGTGCCTCTCAAAGAAGTAAAGAAAGAAAATGTCGCTGATTTTTCATCCGCCTTAATATCATCTATCGATATGGGATCCCTCGATATATAATAACGGATAATGGAAAGCCGTTTTCAAACAGCCATATTGACAAGCTTTGTGAAAAATTTGGTTTCAAGCAACGAAAGTCCTCTATGTATAATGCTGCAGCTAATGGACTTGCTGAAGCATTCAATAAAACTTTGTGCAATTTGTTGAAGAAAATAGTTGCAAAATCGAAACGAGATTGGCATGAGACGGTTGGAGAAGCCTTGTGGGCATACCGAACCACTTTTAGGATGCCGACTCAAGCCACTCTTCATGCACTTGTCTATGGCGTAGAAGCAGTTGTTCCCCTCGAGCAGCAAATTCCATCATTGAGGATAGCATTGCAAGAAGGATTGACAGAAGAAGAAAATGCGCGCCTTCACCTTGAGGAGTTGAAGGCTCTCGATGAGAAAAGACTGGAAGCTCAACAATGACTGGAATGTTATCAAGCACGTCTTTCTAAGGCTTTTAACAAGAAAGTTCGATCGCGCTCCTTTCAAGTGGGTGATTTGGTTCTTGCTGTGAGAAGACCGATTGTGATGACACATCGTGTTGGGAATAAGTTCACGTCAAAGTGGGATGGTCCATATGTTGTGAGGGACGTCTATACCAATGGCGCCTACAAGGTGGTAGCCGAAGATGGTTTGGTAGTTGGTCCTATCAACAAGAAGTTTTTGAAACGCTATTATGCGTGATGTACCTGCATGTACCTTTCCTTAAAGAAAAAAAAAAAAGAAAAAACTCCTGACCAGCACGAGTATAAACTGTGAACGGTAATCACCAAAAAGCTTTGCATGTGATTAAACTGCTAAATTCTCCACCAATGCGAATATATGTGGTTAAACTGTTAATTTTCCCACTAAAGTGTTATGTGGTTAAACCTAATACTCTACTTTGTCTAAAGTAGTTAAAGAATAGTCACTCCTGGCCCGCATGAGTATAAACTGTGCACGGCAACCCCCCAT